GCCTGATTTTTTTATTTCCTCTCATGTTACCACTTTATGATGTTCTTGCAGTCTTACCTAAAGGAGGCAGCTTGTTTCTCTTTTATATTTCTTACCACAGCTGCACAGGATGGCATACACACAGTCCTTAGTCATGTTCTCCTCTATGGGGGGGGGGTCTTACTCAGAAGAGGTGTTTGCAAAGTGTTGAACCACTTTTGAAGGTTGTCCTGGTGTTATATGGACCACAGATCTTTTGTATTTTCTTTGATAATCCCATCAGATAGAAAACAGCTTCAGTCTGCTTATCCTGAATGTTGTTATCCTCTTGTACCCTTCTGACCTAGTTTGTCAGAGCAGTTGCCATGTACCAGGGTAGTTGTTACAATGTAGGATACTGCTTATACTGACCATTTCTTGTTCATATGTCTCTGGGTTGCCACTTATGACTTTTGCATGATTTTATAAGCAGCAGATGATCCCTTTCTTTACACTGTATGGGTGTTTGGAGTTGAAATTGAGGTACTGTCTGGTGAATGTAGGCTTGTGGTATATGGATGACTTGAACCAATGCTCTGTTCAAGATATTAGTACATTCAGAAAGGCGAGTTTGTTGTTTTCTCTCTCCACTCTGAATTTTATCAATGATCTTATTGAGTTCACATGGTCCAGTAGTAGCTGGACCTCTTCCTGGCGTGGCCAGAGTATGAATATGTCATCTATGTATCTCAGCCATAGTGTTGACTTTAGTGATGTAGATTCTAATGCCATTTCCTCAAAGTATTCTAATTATGTTTGCCATTGCTGGTGATAATGGTGAGCCCATTGCTAAGCCCTCATCCTGTCAATATATGTCTAATCCCATTGGGTTCTTGTTTAGCAAACAACACTCTTCAGAATGGAATCAGATATATGGCCAGTGGATAAAGGCGTTGGTTAGATCCAGTAACTAGTGAGTTCAATACCTGGCTACAGCAGGGGTGAAACAAAACTTGGAAACTTGAGTTAAAGGGAAATAACTGAGACATTTGGAAGAGGCATGGCACATGGAACTAAGACAATCTACCCTGGTGGACGAAATAAAGAGTTTAGTTCAAAATTCCAATCACCTGGAGAAGGCCAGAGTACACAACAGCCGAAACATTCTATTGTGGTTTTGTTTTACATTTTATTCATTTCATTTTCAGTATAAAAATGAGAAAAGTAATCCACTATCAAATACATATTACAATGGGGTAACTTACATTACACATACCCAACATCTGACACTGTTACTCCTTTATGTACATTGTATAGCATGGTTAAGAAGAAATTGTTCTTAATTCACAGCTGTGCTAATTTATGTCTCTTTGCATCCAAGGACATGTTGGAATCAGGCTGGAATCAGAACTTCTTTAATAAAATGAACAACAATGTTTATAACTCTAACAACAGTTATAGTGAAGATAAAGAGTGGTTGAATAAAATGGCTATTATCTATTGCAAAATCAAGTTCTCTACTGTTTGATGATGATCTGAGAAATGTAGTCACACGTGCTAAAATAATAACAAAACATTTGACTCTCAATCGATTTTTCAAAGTAATAACAAGCCAGTCAAATCTAACTCAATTCTTCTGTCATGCATGTGCCTTTGTTTTCATTCCAATCATGGGAAATGTGACAGAGGCAAATTTCCTTGTTTAGCTGATTCCTCCTGTCTGTTTTTCAGTCTGGTGAGTTCTTGTTTATATAGACACCCCTCACACCCACATAAAAAAAAACAAAAAACTTGACATTGATAAATACCTCATTTCTCCATCCTGACTGTCTTAAACATAGATCTTATTAATAAACACATGGTCTTCCATTTTGTTTTTAGAATTTCCGATATACCTTTCTGTAATGATAATGATGTTCTTGAACGATCAACATAAACGTATCCTAAGCCTGAGAATTAAATAAAATTCAAAATTCTTCTTTGTCTAGAATAATTTGTAAGAACATACACATTTTAGCAAGCTAGTATAATGTAAACAAACCCCAAGACTAACTTCTCAGTTTTTCTGATCAAAATTCCCTCTTCTTCACCAAGCAAACCACTTATGAATTATACTCTCAGCTATGGCACCATCTCAAAGGGCTTTTATCTTTTTTGCTGTTTGTACAGTATTTTTCCTTTCCCATAATAATGTTATAGACAAGCGTATGGTTGCAAGAAAGAAATACGACAACAGCAGAAATAGATTTACGTGGTTTATTTCAACAGGAACGTGTGGGTTTGGGACAGCTACCTTGTGGTAAAGTTCATAAGCCGGCTTCGGATCTGGGTTGATCTTTCATAGTACTTCACACATGTTGACGGTGGTTGATGCTCTCCTGCTGTCAGCAGCTGAACGTGACAGGTCTCTATCCTGGGCACCTGTGGACTGCCAGTTGAACTTCCATGTGACCCCTTTTATAGCGTTGTTTTATGGCTTAACAGGCTCGAAAAACGAAGCGAGTATAATTAGGAGGGAAGCATTTTTATTGGACTAAAAATAGAACACTTTAAATATTATTTTATTTTTCAACTGGAACACGTGTGTCGGGAACATTTGTAAATGAAGATAATGGTCATTTTGTGACGGGATTTTGTCCCGTTCACATCCAGCTCCCGCTCTTGCGTATATGCCTGTAAATCAGCCGAGATATGTCTGATTTTATTTTATGATAATAAGAGCATCAAATGGCAAAAACACATCTCATTTTGATCCATTTTCACTTTTAACGTAAAACATTTCAAATTTACAATTCACGCACAAATTTTATAGGCAGAGACATTGAAATGTTGCTTAGTTTTAAGAATATAGTTCTCTAATTTTGAGTGGCAGATACTCTAGGAGAAGGAACATACCTGAATGCAAAAGCATGGAGAAGGTAAAAGGAATCAGTGGAAAGCCATGACCATCAATGTTCTGAAGAGGTTAGTCAATTATGTGTCATACGTGATACACGCATAGGTGATCATGTATCTTTTGATACATGACTGACGAGGCAGATGTTTTTCCGCAGTAGGTTGCCATTTCTTTCTGCGGTAGACCAGTTGCCATCCAAGGCTACAGAACCCAGTCTGTCCTGCTATTTACCCATAGCTGGGGGGAGAAGAGGAGGATTCATACCTTTCCCAAGGTTATTAGCACATAAGTGAATGTAATCGATTCGAATGGAATTTGAACTCGGCTCTCTGATTTCTCAATCCAAGCCGCTATCCATTACTCCACTGTGCCTCTGAAGGGGTATGACATTAAAAAAATTTTTACTTAGTAATATTAGCTGTTACCTTATAAGGAAATATTTAGCATTTATTGATTGACGAGCCAGTTCTTCTGTTGGTTAAAATTCATAACCCCTTTCTATTAAAACAGCTTTTCAGAAAAATAGGTTTCTCAAGGACACTACATCTTTCTCATATTTGTGGAGGTTTCCGTCCTTACATTTTGCCAGAAGTAGTGTAGTATGTCAACATCTTGATTCTGTCACTATTTTCCCTTCAAGTTATATGTACGATTTTAGTTGTTGATGCTTCTGAAAGTCATCAAGTGATGTGGCACCCATTATTAGGCAAAGTACTGTTATAAAATAAAATAAGACATATCTCGGCTGATTTGCAGGCAAATAAACTAACATACTCAAGAGCGAGAGCCGGATGTGAACGGGACAAGGCCCTGTCACAAAATGACCATTATCTTCGTTTACGCATGTTCCCGATGTACGAGTTCCAGTTGAAAAATAAAATAATATTTTAAAGTCTTTCTATTTTTCGACCAATAAAAATGCTTCCCTCCTAATTATACACGTGTCATTTTTCGAGCCTGTTAAGCCATAAAAGGGGTCACACAGCCAAGTACAAGAGCAGTCAACAGGAGGCCAGGGAAGAGACCTGTCATGGTCAGTTTGGGCAGTCAGCAGGAGGAGCGCCACGCCAACCAGTGTGAACTACTATGAGAGATCAACCCAGGTTGGAAGCCGGCTTATGAACTATACCACAAGGTAGCTGTCCCAAACCCACACGTTCCTATTGAAATAAATCACGTAAATCTATTTCTGCTGTTGTTGTATTTCTTTCTTGCAACCATACACTTGTCTATAACAGTACTTTCTTTTGGATTCTGTAACGCCAGTTGATGAGTTTTGTTATAGACAATCATATGGTTGCAAGAAAGAAATATGACAACAGCAGAAATAGATTTACATGATTTATTCCAACAGGAACGTGTGGTTTTGGGACAGCTACCTTGTGGTATAGTTCATAGGCCGGCTGAAGATCTGAGTTGATCTCTCATAGTAGTTCTCACAGGTTGGGTAGCATTCAATTTTGCTGTTAATTACAAATTTTCAAAACTGTCTTATGCTTATTTCCACCCTCGAAAACATATTTTTCTTAATAACTTTCTTTTTTTTTTGGTGAAATTGTTATAAAATCAAATAAGTATACTAATACCCATCAGATATAGGTACCACAAACAAATTTTCAGAGGAATTTGTGAAGTAATAAGAAAATTATTAACAATTTCATGGGACGTCTTGTACTTATTTCCACCACTGTATATCGGAATTTTCGCAATATGAAAATAGGCCAAAAAAGAAATGAAAGAACTAAAATCAAGCCTTGAGTCAAAAAAACTTTATTTACAATCAAAAATGGGGTCAATGACTTAAGAAATAAAGAAACATTTCACAAAATCTGAGTTTATGCACATAGAAAACATTGAAAAAAAAAAGGTACTCTATAAGAAAAAATATTTCTAGGACAGGGAACAAGAAAATATTTACAACTTAAAGACGCAAGTCAAGAATCAATTTTAGAGTGTGTTAAAGTTCTTGGTGCTTTAAAATGTTCAAATAAATGATGAGCATCCTTGAAACAGTCAAAGAGTTAAATCAATGAAGAGATGTTCAAGAGGAGCAGTTTACAGGTGTGTTGAAATGGTGAGGGTGTTCAAAGCATATTTAAATGTTGAAAGTCGATCGAAAAGGATATATTTTGTATACCTTGGGGCTTATGGCCAAATCATCTTGAAATACAGGTTCCCATATAATCACCAAAGTTAAACAATGTTGAACCTGGTCAGTACCTAGATGGGTGACTATTTAGGAACAGCAGGTGCTGTAAACTTAAAGGTGCAGGTGGCGTAATGAATAATAGGTCAGAGCTGTTAATTTGTTAGCCGAGTTCCAATTCTTGTTGTGTTCATTATATTCAAACATGTGGAAAAATAAGTGAAATTACCTGTGTGTGTGGGGGGTTGCAGTCAGACATGGCAGGCTGAGTGTTTGCCAGGTGTTTTTTTTAAAGCGAGGTCGCTCTGACCACTGGTTTTTGTAATCTTTTTAGCAAAAGTGGTGGGGTGTGTAACTCTGCCACCTTGTTACTGAAGGCATGCCTTCTCTCCCTTTTCCTCTTTTCTTTTTTTTTGAGACAGACTTTATAAGAACAGAGACGTTCGAAGGGTTCTCTTCTTCTCACATCATTAATTGATCCCTGACTGAATTTTGGGTTGCAAGACTAGGGAGCGTTTCGCAATATGAAAATGGGGCAAAAAATGAAAAAAAGTAAACTAAAAACCCGACATGAATCAAAGACAAAAAAAAATACTCTATTTACAACAATTTCAATGACTTATTAAGAAATATAGAAAAATTGTACAAAATGTTATTTTGTGTAAGTAAAACTTAAGACAAAATATTTCTAGGATAGGGTGCAACAAAATATTTCAAACAAAGACATGTAAGTTAAGCATCAATTTTTAGAATATATTAGAGTTCTGGGAGCTTTGAAAAAGTTCAAATAAATGATGAGCATCCTTAAAACAGTCAAAGAGTTCAATCAATCTAGAGACATTTAGTGGGAAGTTCAAGAGGAACATTTGACAGCTGTATTGAAATGGTGAGGTCAACCAAACGGTTGAGTCAAAACCTGGACTGCAGACAATTCAAATTGTAATAAACTGAGAAAATATTATATAACTTCTTTGTTCAGCATCAATTTTTAGAATATATTATAGTTCTGGGTGCAGGTACTTACTGTACTGGACCTACTTCTGATCTCCCCTTTGAGTCAAAAGGAATTTTCAACAAATGAGGATATTTTTGCTTTAGACCTATTATGACAAACATTGTACACAGTTTTCTTGCCTAACTCTTGTTTGCTTATGGCCTCATAACGTTGAAATATTGGTTCCTGTACAATCACTGGAGTTAAGCAATGTCGAGCTTGGTCAGTACCTAGATGAGTGACCATTTGGGAATACCAGGTGCTGTGCAAGTGTTAGTGGACAATGGCTTGGAATTGTTAATTGAAGAAGTGAGTTCCTTTGGTTTTAAATAACTTGAAATGGGTTGATAAGCCGTAAAAAACATATCAATCAACATTTAGAAAAATGCAATCAAATGGTCCCATCAGGATATTAATGTGATGGAGGAAAAGTATCAGAGAAGGTGGGACCAACACATGACTGCATACTACTATTGGACCCTTCAACATGATTATGTAAGTGTTAAGCACAAGAGACAATCATAAAAGCATGTATCAGGTCATCCCATAAGTTCTGTCTGAATTTTAACTTTCTGTTAAAATGAACAAAATTTAAAGAATATTTTATAATGTCTAATGGATCTGAACATTATTTTTATGTTTAGATGCATTTAAACTGATCAAATTTTATTTCAGAGAACAATAAAATTAAATTTTGTTTGATTAAAACCCTGCTAACATGGAAGTACCCAAGAATCATTTGAGGCACATAATGCTTTATGAGTTCAAGAAAGGAAACTCAGCAGCCAAAGCGGCTAGAAACATTCACTCATTTTATGGAGAGGAATGTGTGAATGAAAGAACTTGCGGAAGATGGTTTGCAAAATTCAGAGGTGGAGATTTCACCCTTGAAGATGAAGATCAAACCGGACTTCCAGTTGAGTTTGATGAAAAGCTTCTTGAAGCAGCCCTTGAAGAAAATCCTGCTTTATCAGTTGAGGAATTGGCAGTGGTTCTCAGTTCAAACCATACAACTGTTCATCGTCATCTTCAACAACTTGGAAAAGTTCCTAAACTTGGAAAATGGGTGCCTCATGAATTGTCTGAAAACAACCTCAAATCCTGAGTTGACATCTGCTCTTCTCTCCATTCTTGCCAACTTGTTTCACCTTTTTTGGATAGACTTGTGACTGGCGACAAAAAATGGATCTTTTATCGAAATGTTAAGTGTCATAGACAGTGGCTTGGTAAAAGGGAAGGACACCAGCCACAGCCGAGAAGGGAACTTCATGGGCAAAAGGTTCTTTCAATCTGGTGGGATTGCCAGGGAATAATCCACTTAGAATTCTTACCACCTAATGCAACAAATATACTGTCAGCAATTAGAGCATTTGAACCAAGCTTTGAGAAAAAAAGACCTGCTCTAGTGAATCAAAAAAGGGTGATGTTTCATCAGGACAATGCGTGACCCCACACAGCAACAATCACGTCACAAAAGATCGAAGAACTTGGTTGGGAGAAAATTCCTCATCCACCTTATTTTCCTGATCTTGCTCCTTCAGACTACCATTTGTTTTGTAGCTTACAGAATCATTTGGAAGAAACAGCTTTTGTAACACAGGAAGAGGTTAAAACCGACATTTGTGAGTTCTTCGAATCAAAGCCAAAAGAATTTTACAGTAATGGAATTAGTAATCATCTTTATCTATGACTTCCTTCCATCTATTATCAGGGAAAATACATTGTTGATTGAATCTGTAATTAAATATAACATTTGGTCACTTGTTTTCTTTATTCAAAATTCGGACAGAACTTATGGGATGACCTGATAGTTTACCTTTTAACTCTGCATTAGTCACATGGGATGTTTTGTTATCCACAAACCTTTTTAAGTACTTGTAATTCCAAATTGGTAACCTGGTTCTAGGAACATTTGCTGTAAACATTTTTGCTGTAGGAAAACTCACCTCAGGAATTTTCACTGTAGAAAACTTTGCCGTGAGACAATTTCACTGTATTTTTTTTTAAATATGCAAAGTACCTTGTTATCAAGTATATCTGGCTCACACTATTGTTACTTCAATTTAAACATTTTAATAAGCAAAGTTACAGGATAAAATCCTACATCATTCATCCTCGTCATTGAGGAGTGCAAAAATTTCAACTTGACACCAGAATCTACATTATACAATTTCATATTTTAGACTTGACGTTAAACTTTCTGTTAACATATCAGTGCGCCAATAATTCTCACTCAAGGAATCTATCTTATTTCAAACAAACTTACAAGTTGAATATGCAACTGACTTTTGTATAAAATATCTCATCAAAGAAAGATAATCCTTTCACATTCTCAATAAGTTTTGAAATTTACACAAATTATTTAAACATAAACTATTTTAAATTCGCTATGAATACCTAAATATTGAAATATATGTTTTTTTTTATATTTGAACATACGTTATAACAACACACCACCTATTGATCCAAAATATAATTGACATTCAATTTATCAAATACAAAATAATTTAAACAATTTAAAATACCACCTTGTTATATAATTAAAATATACTTGATAACAAGGTACTTTGCATATTAAATTGAACATTACTACAAAAGGGACATACAAGATAAGGGTATCAAAAAAAAAAAAAAAATGCAGCAAAATTGTCTTAGGGCAAAAATCATATACAGCAACGTTTCCTATGGTGAAAATTCTTGAGGTGAGTTTTCCTACGACGAAAATGTTTACAGCAAATGTCCTGGATATGTTGGCAACATGTCCTTTTTGCTTCATCCCACTACTCTCCTGAATCAATGAGGGCATGTGGCACAGTTGTAGCTCAGTTGCTGTTGGAGGTAGACATCGTTTTGTCCTCCATTTTCAGTAATCCAAGGTAACTAACACACGGTTAGATGATGTCTTTTTATGTATTAAAAAGTTAAGAAATTTCTATTTGTTATACAAATTTGTTTTTTTTTCTGAAAACAAAGAATTTACTCAAAATTCCATTTTCATTCTTTGCAGAAATAGGTTTTACATGTCTTTTTAAATCCAGTAAGTGCTTCGCATGTTCATTACAAGTATGTGTTTTTGCAAGCATCCTAAAGTTGTTTTAAGTCCGTCTTGAAACTATAAGGATAACAAAATAATTTTGAAGGAATATCTTCACTTTTCTTCAAAATTTTGTGAAGTGGACATATCTCATGACAGAAAAAAATAAATGTGATGGGGGTGTATACATAAAATGCAAACCTAGCCCAGGATTTCTATGAGTAGCCAATGATTTCACCATATTGTGTTCCATTCTTGGAACATCAGTGTGCACCAAAAGCTGGGAAAGGGCCTGCTGCACACTCACAAGTTTACCAACATGAAAAACAAATGCCACGCTGAGAAATGATTATGTTTTATTCTGTGCTTCATCTGAGTAGATGGGTAGGTGACACATGGAACAACTTCAATTATGTCGCTCTCATAGATCAGCTCTTCTCTTTACCAACTCCTCACTCACCTACACATTCTGATGTGTGGTTGTCAATATGAATGGGTGGCATCGGAACAACATGGACAAATCTGTCCCCCACCAAGGGCAGACCAGAAGTGACTCTCCAATCCCAAGCATGACTTAATATCAACCAACAACGCAATACAACCTACATGTTGCTTGATGTCCAAAAGACACCATCCACTCCCTTACTCTTCATTCCACAAGGCTTACGGCCACATCATGTCAAAACATTAAGTTTTAGTGTGGTAGCATGGTTCAAAGCAGTTGATTATGTCAAATTATGCACATTCCCTCAGAAAATGTAATTATACTCGGTTCAGACAGTTGTATAAACCACTGTTTGGCTTTGTGGGTGTGCAGCAAACACAAATATGCCTGAGCAGACTTCTGTAACAGGGATTTACTAACCAAGCTAGCAGCCAGACAAAATGTGAATTATCTGAAAATGCAGACACACATGATTCACAAGAACACAGATTCTCTCAGAGTTCTCTTTTTCACATGTCATCCCTGTGGAAATGCACGTTCACATTTCAAGTGTTTTTCCACATGTACTTTTGAATTTGAACACATTCAAAATGTAAGCCAATTGTATTTTTAAAATAAAACTCATAGAATCAGACAGTTACAAGTGCAATATGCCTCTTTAATATCCTTCAATGTAGGATTTAAACTGGTACTCTGTAATGATATTAATATGCTTAACAATGGTACTCACATATGAATTTTCAATTTAGAACTCTTTGAAAATACTAAGTATACACTCCAAATGTTTGAAGATTCTCTCCAGAGTGAATATTCATGTTGACTGAAATGTTGATCCAGCCACAATACAATATTTGTACATGTATTTCTAAAATGAAACAAAACGAAAATGCTTACAAGCAAACTTGACAAGTGGAGCATGTCTCCCTATAGCGTCTGCTCACATTTACTTTGAAGTTAAAATTTTGTGCAAATTCTAAATAGTTAACAAGAAAATTTCTAGCAAATATGCATTTGTCCATGTCTTTCTAAATATAACCCTTTGAAAATGCTGATCCACTCAATGTGAATGAATAAGGTTTCTCCCCGGTGTCTGTATGTTCGCATGTGTACTTTTAAATCTGAATTCTGTGAAAATGCTGATCCACATACTTAAAAAATCTGATTTTTCTCCTGTATAGAATCTCATGTGCATTCAGAAAATAAAATTTGTTGAAAATGCTGATCTGCAAACGGTACACATATAAGGTATTTCTTCAATGTGTATTTGAATGTGTAATTTTAAATCTGAACTCACTAAAAATACTGATCTACATATTTACAAGAAAATGGTTTCTCTCCTGCATGAATTCTCATGTGGATTTTCAACTGAGAATTCACTGAAAAAGCTGATCCACAAACAGTGCAGACATGAGGTTTTTCTCCAGTGTGTATTCTCATGTGGCCTTTTAAATTGGAACTCTGTGAAAATGCTGAACCACACACTTGACAAAAAAAGGGTTTATTTCTTGTGTGTATTCGCATGTGAGTTTTTAAATTGTAACTCTCTGAAAATGCTGATCCACAAAATTGACAAGAAAATGGTTTCTCACCTGTGTGTATTCGCATGTGTTTTGTCAAACTACATTTCACTGAAAATGCTGATCCACATACTTTACAAGAATATGGTTTCTCTCCTGTGTGCGTCCGCATATGCACTTTTAAAACTGAATTCCTTGAAAAGGCTGAGCCACAAATTTCGCATGAATAAGGTTTCTCTGCAGTATGTATTCTCATGTGTACTTTTAAAC